ATATAATTAAATTTTGCTTCAGAGATAATCTCTGCAAATGGTTTGTAAGGATGCAAACCATTTAAAGAGAAATATCTATTAAAATTATTTAAAATTATACTTTTTGTTATATCAAGAATTTAATTTCACTCTTATATTTTTTTATCACCCAAGAAAAAAAAAATCTAATCGTTAGTTATCTTTTAAGATTCTCTTATTTATTGAGCGAAATTATATACATTGTCGTATTTAAATCGTTCTACATAATAGGTTTTTACGTGTTCACACGCATCTCTTCCTTCTTCGTGTATAATTCTTCTGTCGTACTTTCCAATTAGGGTAGAACAAATCGAGGAAACGAACCGTTGACGCCGTTTTTTCCTGTCGCCGTTACGCGCGATGACGACGCCGCACTTTTTCATTAAGTTATGTCTACATCAGGACGCACCGTAAATTTAAACCAATTTACTCATTAGCTCGAAAACGGACCATTGCGAAAATACGTGAAACAGTCTATATAATTCTGCGACTTGAGAAAAATCGGATCGAATACACACGCGATTTCACATAAATTTGTTTTAATTATTATTTCGATATTTAATATTGGTCGCATTATTTATGGGATTAACTTTTATTTTATTTGCAGTTCAAGGGGAGATTGTAACGCAAACGACGCCAACGGTACCAGTGTAAGTATCACGATATACTTAGTGATTATAATAATCTTAAGAGAAATATAATTGTTGTTTTAATGCGATCTCTTTGATGTAGATTTACCGGTAAACCTGGTGATCCATCACCGCCGATTTTCGAGCGAATCTTTAAAAATGCGAGATTCGCGCAGGGCGGCAACGCGATCTTTGAAGGCTGCGTTCGAGGCAATCCGAAACCAACAGTTTCTTGGACGCACAAAGGAATACTGTTGCTAGAATCGCGAAAGATTCGTATGTCTTATGATGAATATACTGGAATTGTCACACTTCAAATTAATCAGATTGGTCCAGGGGACGAGGGCGAGTACACGTGTAGTGCAAAGAATCAATATGGTGAGGATTTCTTCTGCCAGAAAATTTAATTTTAATTTTAGATATATTTTTTCTTCTTTTCTCTTAAGGTTAAAATAAAACGATGTAAAAATTATTGCTTTCTTCATTTTCTAGGCGAAGCGATTTGCTCAGTTTACATACAACCAGAGGGGTTCGGTCCTCCAGCGCAACAGCTGACGGATAGCTACAAGAAGGAATTTACGCAAAACATTCAGTCGAGCGAGCAAAAAATGCAGACCGGCAGTCAGGTCTTCCAACAACGCAGTTATCAACAAACAATAGATAAACGAAGTTACGTTAATGGCACGACTACGAGCATCGAAGATTTTAAGGTATTATAATTAAATGCTCTCGTTACTTCGATAGGATAACAGAGCTTAAGATAACATTTTGTAATCTTCACAGGTTGATACTTTTGAATACCGATTATTGCGCGAATCGGAGTTTCGCGAATCGATCACTCGCCGTTTCGTGGATGAATCCGATTTGCAAATTTCTACGACAGTTGATCGTACCTTAGGACCAATTGCCCCTCCGCAAATCACTCAGAAACCGAGAAACTCGAAACTCGTCGAAGGATCAGATGCCGTCTTCACCGCGAAAATAACCGGCAATCCTAAGCCAAGGGTGAGTTTATGCCGTATCTCAAAAGAGCATATTACATTTAATTTCACACATTTTACTATTCAATTCTGTAATTATTTTTATCTCCGATATTTTATACAAACGAAATATTAACAATTGTATAGTGGATCATCTAATATATGTATTATTAATTAATATAATATGTTGCCGCAGTTAACATGGTTCAAGAACGGCCAGAGAATCCGTGATACCCAACGCGTGGAGACGAGTTATTCGAATCAGCAGGCTACCTTACGAATCCGAGTCGCCCTGCCGGAAGACAGCGGTCATTATACATTATTGTCCGAAAATCCCCAAGGTTGCACTGTTAGCTCCGCTTACCTGGCAATTGAGTCCAGTGATCAAGTAGATCAAGTTCCGTATCAAGCGCATCAAAGGGAATTCATTAAGACTCAACAAGTGGAATCGACCGCCGAGTCTACTGACTCTGGCAAGGTTCTGCCACCGAATTTTGTTCGCACCATTACGGACAGAGAAGCTACCGAAGGCAAGATGACGCGGTATGTTTCGACTTTCTATCTTTCTAATATTTTTTTAAGCTAAATATCATTTTATTCGAGATATTCAAGTTATTATATATTATTTTCAGATTTGACTGTCGCGTAACTGGTCGTCCGTATCCCGAAGTCACTTGGTACATAAATGGTCAACAAGTCGCGAATGACATGACTCATAAAATCCTCGTAAATGAATCCGGTAACAATTCATTGATGATTACGAATGTGAGTCGTGCTGACGCCGGCATAGTAACATGCGTCGCTCGGAATAAAGCTGGCGAAACCTCCTGTCAGTGCAATTTGAACGTTATCGAGAAGGAACAAGTAGTCGCGCCGAAATTTGTAGAGCGTTTTGTCACGACAAGCGTGAAGGAAGGAGAACCCGTTGTCTTTATGGCACGCGCAGTTGGCACGCCGGTTCCACGCATCACGTGGCAAAAGGTAATATTTTCGAATTCTATCAGTTGTATCAATTGCAAATGTCTCTGATACTGACGATTTTTGACAGGACGGCGTGCCAATAACGCCTGGCTCCGAAATACGTATATCGAGCGACGGTAGCGGAGCTTCTACCTTGGATATTCCATGCGCCAAGTTCTCAGATGCAGCCTGGTACCAGTGCACCGCTCAAAATGTAGCCGGTTCCACCGCAACACGAGCGCGACTCTTCGTCGAGACGCCAAAAGGAACGGCCCCGGAACCAAGACGCCTGAACTTACCCCGACCAACGAAAGTCATCGAACCAGAGTAAGAGACTTTTCGAGTGTTCACCAAAAATTAACAGATTAATTGATGTTCTCCATTTTTTTTTCTTCAAATTTTCTCATTCTGTTTAGCGAGTTTATAGTAAGAAAATGAAATAACGCGAATAAATATTTGTAGACCAGCGCCTGGCCCCGAAGTGATTTATTTGAGACACGTGGAACGTGCCAAGCCTTACTTGCCGCCTTCTGAAGAAGATAAGATTTATCCGCCGCCACGTTTCATTATACCCTTAAAGGACGTTCATCAAATCGAAGGTGGACGAAGTCACTTCGAGGCCAGAATCGAACCGGTGGGCGATCCCACAATGAGGGTGGAGTGGTATGTTAATGGCAGAGCACTCGACGCGAGTAAGTATAACACTTGTATCATCGATTACTCGATTAGACTCTCGAATCAATCTAATTAATATTGGCGTATTTGTAGGTTCCCGGGCGACTTCCATCTTTCGTTTTGGTTTTATTTCACTCGATCTCATTAGCATTGTTCTTCAAGATAGCGGCGAGTATTTGTGCCGTGTCGTAAGCTCTACCGGAGTCGCCGAATCTCGAGCCACCCTCAGCGTAACCCGTAAGTATAAAAAGTATTTTATGAATTTCTTTCGTAATTATTATTCGCGTTATAAGCCAAATTTACTTCTCGTTTCTTAGCACGCGCCACGATTGAACAGGCGAGCCAATACCCCGACAGTCTCCAGTACATCCAGCAGCTCGAGGATTACAGCAAGTACCAAAGGCAGGAGAGCGTGGAGGAGACCTCTTCACAGCGGCCGGTTTTCATCCGCCCGCTCCAGGATCTTGGTGAGCTACAGGAAGGTCGTAACGCCCATTTCGAGGCGCAATTGACGCCTGTTAGCGATCCCACCATGAAAGTGGAGTGGTACAAGGATGGAAAACCAATCACAGCCAGTGAGTATCGACATCTGGAGAGAAGCACGATTATAATGGAATTATTAAAAATAAAATTCAATAAAAAACATTATAATATTCAAATTTATATTATAACATTTTTAATATTACTATATTTCGTTCTTTTAGGCTCGAGAATCACTAGCATCTTCAACTTCGGTTACGTCTCACTCAATATAATGCACCTACGGGTTGAAGATGCGGGTTCTTATACCGTCAGAGCTGTGAACCGCTTGGGAGAGGCCATCAGCTCCGCGACTCTCCGTGTCTTTGGTGAGTTTTAATTCTGCGACAAACAATCATTTTTAAGCGGTCTTTTTCGATTATTCTCTGATATTAAAATTAATCTCAAAATTATTGCGTAGCGCGAACGAGCGTAACGACAGACTTGGGTATCCCCGAGCAACTGAGATACATCGAGGCTGCCGAGGAATTGGAAGCGTATCAACAGGCGATGCACCAGAAGTACGTGCAGGAGCAGCCTGAACCGAGTAGCCCACCGGAATTTAAATCGCCTATTAAAGATCAGAGCGGCATACGAGAAGGCGGATTTGCTCATTTTGAAGCGCGCCTCGAACCAGTCGGTGACGCCGATCTTCGTGTCGAGTGGCTCAAGGATGGACGACCTGTAGAAGCTAGTGAGTAACGTATAATTCGATTCGCAGAAATGCATGTCATTAAGTTTGTATATTCATAAAACATTCTCGAATTTAGGTTCCCGAATTACAACCTTCTTCAATTTCGGTTACGTGGCGCTGACCATCAAATATGTAACGATACACGATGTCGGCGTATATACTTGCCGAGCTTACAACAGGGCTGGCGAGGCTCATACTACTGCTCAATTAAGCGTAATTAGTAAGAACGATGTTATTTACGATAGTCAGCATCCTACCGGTCTTCAAAAAATTCAATCTCTCGAAGATTCGAGCAGATATTCGCGACAAATTCAGGAAGAAACGCAGGTTACGCAGGCACCACGATTCCTGGGCAATCTTAAAGGCACGAATAAAATCGTAGAGGGTCAACGGGCGCACTTTGAGGCGCGTGTAGAACCTCAAAGCGATCTGAGCATGAAGATCGAGTGGTACCACAACGGCAAACCTATCACTGCCGCTAATAGAATTCAGACGTATCACGATTTCGGATACGTTGCCATTGACATTCTTCAAGTTCGTCCCGAAGATGCTGGCACGTATACCGTTGTGGCTAGAAACTCTCGCGGGGAAGCTCGTTTATCCGCCACCATGACCGTAGAGAGTAAGATATATAACTTATACTATATTTATGCAGCTAAAATCTCTGAAAAATCGCAAAATTAATAAATTTTATTAATTTTTCCAGCGCGTTCTAGCATAGATACTAGTAGCATGCACCGCGGCACTTACGAAAAGACTCAACGCTTAGAAGAATCCAAGTTCATCGAACCGCATTATCATATCGAAGAAATCTCCAAATCAAAACCGATCTTTATCCAGCCATTGAGTGATCCTAAGCCGGTTAGCGAGGGCAAGAATATTCACTTGGAATGTCGCTTGGAACCAATGGGCGATCCAACGATGAGAGTTGAATGGTTCCAAAACGGACGTCCGGTCACGGTTGGCTCCAGATTCAGGACTTATTATGATTTCGGATTTGTCGCACTCGACATAGTACACGCTACCGTTTATGATTCCGGCGAATATACTGTCAGAGCCACTAATCATCTGGGCACCGCGCATACTTCCGCTTGCGTGAGAGTCATCGGAAGATCCGACGTCGTCACCGAAACGCAGAACGAACAATCGCTCGAGCAGATACAAATGTTGGAGGACTCATCGAGGTTCGCTTTTATTTATTGCCTTGTAATTCATGCAACTTATCTGTGTACTATTATTCTTATTTATTGTTCTATTTTTTATATAGATATCGCAAAACTCAACAAGAGGAAGTCACTGTGATGCAAGCACCTCAGTTCACTCGACCTTTACACAACATCGAAACGGTGGAACTGACCAACGTTCATCTCGAATGTCGTCTACAGCCGGTCGGTGACGTAACCATGAAAGTCGATTGGTTCGTCAACGGCCGACCGGTAAAAACTGGTCACCGATTTAGACCATCTTACGAATTTGATTACGTGGCTTTAGATATCCTCGGCGTATATCCTGAAGATTCTGGCGTGTACACCTGTCAGGCTAGAAATCAACTTGGCGAGGCAGTTACTTCGTGTTCTGTAAGAGTACATGCAAAGAAGGATTTAATTCTGGAATCTCAACATCCTGAAGGATTGGAAAGGATACAGTACTTGGAGGATGTTTCTCGATACAAGAGACACGAACTCATCGATGAGGTTGTGAATGTAAAGCCGAAATTTATTACAAAACCGAAAAATCAGGAAAATCTTCGAGAAGGACAACACGCTCATTTCGAATGCAAATTGGAACCGGTAACGGATTCGAATTTGAAGGTCGAGTGGTTCAAGAATGGTCGTCCAGTAACGATAGGTAATTTATTCCTCTTATCATTAATAATTTACAATAACAACAAACACACGCAAACATCATTATTCAATTATTTTTCTTTTTATTAACAGAATTTTATTAACGGAATGCTCAGCTCTCTCTCTCGTGTATCTGTTAAATTATATTTAATCTTATGCACATTAATTTGCAGGACACCGTTTCCGTCCGATTCATGACTTCGGTTACGTTGCATTAGACGTAATTGATTTAATCGCTGAGGACTCTGGAACTTATACGTGTCGTGCCGTTAATCTGGTAGGCAGCGACGAAGTGAACTGCATCTTAACATGTCGCTCGGGCGCGCATATCTTAACAGATACGCAAAATGAGCTTGGACTTGAACAGATTCACTATCTCGAAGATAGATCCAAATATCACAGACAAGAAATTATTGAAGAAACCACCACTCAGGCTCCCATTTTCACGACTTCATTAAACAATGTCGAGATAAAAGAAGGTCAGCGAGCTCATTTCGAGTGCAGACTAATTCCAGTGTCCGATGCAACGATGAAAATTGAATGGTTCCACAATAATAATCCGGTGAAAGCAGGCTCGAGATTTATCGAAACAAATAGCTTCGGTTTCGTCGCTCTCGATATTATGTATGCATATCCCGAAGATTCTGGAACATATACTTGCAGAGCTAAAAATATTATTGGAGAAGCTATCACTTCTGCAACCGCTATCGTTCACTGTAAGCTCTTGGCTATTTTAAAATTTGCTGGATGATTAGTTTCAATATTAATAATAAAAATCGTTAATTCATTATTTTTTATCTACAGCCAAAAAGTCAATCTACACAGAGACTCAAAGCGAGCAAACTCTTCAACGTCTTCGCACCTTGGAGGACACGTCTCGTTATCAACGTAAAACAACAACCGAGGAAATTATTACACAAGCTCCTGTCTTCACGTTGCCGATAAAAGATCTCCGTGTTGCTGAGAATCAAGCAGCGCATTTCGAAGCACGTGTCATCCCGGTTGGAGATCCCAAACTCAAAGTGGAATGGCTGCGTAATGGAGTTTCCATTTCAGCCTGTAAGTATCCAACGTCTTGTAAATTTACATGTTATAGGATATCATGTTCTACAAATAATGAAATTAAAAAAAAAAAAAATATATCTTTATTACTCTTAAGCCGGTTAGCGAGGGCAAGAATATTCACTTGGAATGTCGCTTGGAACCAATGGGCGATCCAACGATGAGAGTTGAATGGTTCCAAAACGGACGTCCGGTCACGGTTGGCTCCAGATTCAGGACTTATTATGATTTCGGATTTGTCGCACTCGACATAGTACACGCTACCGTTTATGATTCCGGCGAATATACTGTCAGAGCTACTAATCATCTGGGCACCGCGCATACTTCCGCTTGCGTGAGAGTCATCGGAAGATCCGACGTCGTCACCGAAACGCAGAACGAACAATCGCTCGAGCAGATACAAATGTTGGAGGACTCATCGAGGTTCGCTTTTATTTATTGCCTTGTAATTCATGCAACTTATCTGTGTACTATTATTCTTATTTATTGTTCTATTTTTTATATAGATATCGCAAAACTCAACAAGAGGAAGTCACTGTGATGCAAGCACCTCAGTTCACTCGACCTTTACACAACATCGAAACGGTGGAACTGACCAACGTTCATCTCGAATGTCGTCTACAGCCGGTCGGTGACGTAACCATGAAAGTCGATTGGTTCGTCAACGGCCGACCGGTAAAAACTGGTCACCGATTTAGACCATCTTACGAATTTGATTACGTGGCTTTAGATATCCTCGGCGTATATCCTGAAGATTCTGGCGTGTACACCTGTCAGGCTAGAAATCAACTTGGCGAGGCAGTTACTTCGTGTTCTGTAAGAGTACATGCAAAGAAGGATTTAATTCTGGAATCTCAACATCCTGAAGGATTGGAAAGGATACAGTACTTGGAGGATGCTTCTCGATACAAGAGACACGAACTCATCGATGAGGTTGTGAATGTAAAGCCGAAATTTATTACAAAACCGAAAAATCAGGAAAATCTTCGAGAAGGACAACACGCTCATTTCGAATGCAAATTGGAACCGGTAACGGATTCGAATTTGAAGGTCGAGTGGTTCAAGAATGGTCGTCCAGTAACGATAGGTAATTTATTCCTCTTATCATTAATAATTTACAATAACAACAAACACACGCAAACATCATTATTCAATTATTTTTCTTTTTATTAACAGAATTTTATTAACGGAATGCTCAGCTCTCTCTCTCGTGTATCTGTTAAATTATATTTAATCTTATGCACATTAATTTGCAGGACACCGTTTCCGTCCGATTCATGACTTCGGTTACGTTGCATTAGACGTAATTGATTTAATCGCTGAGGACTCTGGAACTTATACGTGTCGTGCCGTTAATCTGGTAGGCAGCGACGAAGTGAACTGCATCTTAACATGTCGCTCGGGCGCGCATATCTTAACAGATACGCAAAATGAGCTTGGACTTGAACAGATTCACTATCTCGAAGATAGATCCAAATATCACAGACAAGAAATTATTGAAGAAACCACCACTCAGGCTCCCATTTTCACGACTTCATTAAACAATGTCGAGATAAAAGAAGGTCAGCGAGCTCATTTCGAGTGCAGACTAATTCCAGTGTCCGATGCAACGATGAAAATTGAATGGTTCCACAATAATAATCCGGTGAAAGCAGGCTCGAGATTTATCGAAACAAATAGCTTCGGTTTCGTCGCTCTCGATATTATGTATGCATATCCCGAAGATTCTGGAACATATACTTGCAGAGCTAAAAATATTATTGGAGAAGCTATCACTTCTGCAACCGCTATCGTTCACTGTAAGCTCTTGGCTATTTTAAAATTTGCTGGATGATTAGTTTCAATATTAATAATAAAAATCGTTAATTCATTATTTTTTATCTACAGCCAAAAAGTCAATCTACACAGAGACTCAAAGCGAGCAAACTCTTCAACGTCTTCGCACCTTGGAGGACACGTCTCGTTATCAACGTAAAACAACAACCGAGGAAATTATTACACAAGCTCCTGTCTTCACGTTGCCGATAAAAGATCTCCGTGTTGCTGAGAATCAAGCAGCGCATTTCGAAGCACGTGTCATCCCGGTTGGAGATCCCAAACTCAAAGTGGAATGGCTGCGTAATGGAGTTTCCATTTCAGCCTGTAAGTATCCAACGTCTTGTAAATTTACATGTTATAGGATATCATGTTCTACAAATAATGAAATTAAAAAAAAAAAAATATATCTTTATTACTCTTTACCTTCTAAAAGCAAATCGTGTAACGACCATGCACGACTTTGGATACGTCGCTTTAAACATGAAGTACGTCAATCCCGAAGATTCAGGCACTTATACGTGTCGTGCGACAAATGAGCTCGGAGAAGCGGTTACTTCAGCAACACTATTCGTTCAATGTAAGTCCAAACTCAATGCGCAATTCAGATATACAATGATTTTTTTTTGCACAATATGCAAATTAATTTATGGAATATAATCGACAACACTTACACAAATTATGCAAATTTTCTCAATATTAATGACACGCTATAATTATGCTATTAAACTAAAATGTTGTTTGAAACATTTAACAAATCGCTATGTAACACTGCTGATTTTATATTTTTCAATTTTATTATTGCTTTATAAATTTGGTGTGTTATTTTGCTAAACTTATTTGTTACTATCTGCAAATAAGTATTTACTCGTATGCAATATATCGCAATTTGATTAACAATGTAAACTTTTCTGGTTTTGCAAAAACATTGAATTATATATAATTTCCCTTTATACACAACTCGTACACAATTACACAAATTCTTCTAAAATGCAGCCAAGGCAGCCTTGCAGTTTGAATCACAACACGAAAACGCTTTGTCGAAACTCCAAGCCTTGGAAGATACCTCAAAATATCAACGTCGTGAGGAAGAAGAGATTGTTGTAAAAGAAAAGCCATCCTTTACGGTCCAGTTGAATGGACCTACCAGTCTAGTCGAAGGTCAAAGCGCACACTATGAGTGTCGTATAGAACCTTATCCTGATCCCAACATGAAGGTGGAGTGGTTCCACAATGGCAAACCATTATCCACCGGTCATAGGTATAGAACTACCTGTGACTTTGGATTTGCGTCGTTGGACGTGTTGACCGTATATGCCGAAGATTCGGGCACATATACTTGCCAGGCTACCAATAAATTGGGATCGGCGAGAAGTTCGATTAATCTCGACGTGAAATGTGAGTAACAGAAGAACGCGTTTTTGCGTGTCAAGTATCTTGTAGTAGTCCATTTTATTGTATTTCCCTGCTTTATACATATATATACAACAGAGAATTAATTTTTTTATATTTATAATTTTACCTACACAATTTATATTTATGAACACCTTAGATATTTATAATTTTGTCTACACAATTTTATAAATTGTAATTTTCACATTAGAGAGCCGTATATATTAGTTCTTTACTTTATTTATATTTCGCATTTTAAAATCTTCTTTCTTTGTTTTGTTAAATAAAAAAAAAATCGCTTTTTAGCTCGAGCATCGATTATTCGCGATACACAGCATGAGAGCGCATTGAAAAAGATACAATATCTTGAGGACGATTCGAGATATAAGCGCATAGTCGAAGAAGATACAATTATCGCGGAGAAGCCTGCTTTTGGACGACCGCTGAAGAATATTGAACACTTACCGGAAGGCAAAAACGCCCATCTTGAAGCTACATTGACTCCCGTGAACGATCCGACGATGGTCGTCGAATGGTTCAGAGACGGGCGTCCCATTCCTCAGGGACATAAATTTAAAACGACCTACGACTTTGGATATGTCGCTCTCGATATTCTTTACGCTAAGCGAGTAATGCCGTCGGTGAGGCTGTTACTACTTGTGTGATCAGCGTGGATTGTAAGTGATATTTTATGTATTTATAGATTGGATCTATATTGTTTTGGCAAGCGCACCCGTTGCATAATATATTTCTTTGAAATATTTTTTTTAAACAAATGAGAGAAAAAATGCGAAATAATCGTTCATATATTTCCATTTCCCAAAATTGATAAGGGTGTAAACAAATTTGTTAATAAACTATAAATTTTTTTAAATAAAAAACACGGGCGCATAATTATCGATTATTTTGATTTATGCAAATAGCAAAACAAGGTTTATACCTCGACACATTGGATGCTCAACGTTTACAAAAGATTCGAGAATTGGAAACTGTTGAAATCAAAGAAGAAGTCGAAAAGGAGGTTATTCATCAGAAACCTGTTTTCTTGACACCGCTAAACAATCTGGATCATCTCAAAGAAGGCGAACATGCTCATCTGGAATGTCGTGTGGAGCCAATTAACGATCCAAACTTGAAAATTGAATGGTATGTTTATGGATAAAAACAGCGTCAACATTTAAAATATATTATAAGACAGAAACCAAAAGCCATTAATAGTTTTGATACAATGCCAAATAATCCAATTGATCAATTGATTAAATTTTCTTGACACTTGATAGGTTTGTCAATGGAGTCGCAATTAAAACTGGTCACCGCTTCCGCACTACACACGATTTTGGCTACGTGGCTCTCGATATTCTGTATACCTATCCCGAAGATTCCGGTACTTATATGTGTAAAGCAACCAATTTGGCCGGCGAAGCCGTTAATACCTGTACTATTAAAGTCAGTTGTAAGTATAAAGTATCATGTTAATTCAAAATATTAATTTTAAATTAATTCCGCATAATTATCAGCAAGGAATACCCAATATCCAAAGTATAAATTTCTATCCATGAAAAATTTGAAAACATTTATCGGCGTTAATCAAATTAATCAACGAGAAAGAGGCCGTTTGTCAAATAGATAGCATCGCTTTTATAAAGAAGAGTTCCGTTAAAATTTTAATTAATTCTTGCAAGCTCGGACAAGTTCTTTCATGGAAAATATTATATTATGCTTCGAAAAATTTCGGATGTCTCAAGAAATACCAAGTCTCGCAGTATCAACTCTCCGAATCAAGATTTATTGTAGAATTGAATTTATTTTATTCAAGAAAGCGCGTATATATAAAATTACTAATAGTAAAAATATAATTATGGAGAGAAACAAACTAGTTATGATCCCTTTTTTATTTTAGCACGACGAAGTATTCTTCTGGACACCCAACATCCGGATGGTTTAGAAAAGATTCGAGAATTAGAAGCCCAGGGTCATCCCGCACGGTTGGAAATTGAGGAACCGCCAGTAACACCACCAAGATTTGTCACCGAGCTTAGAGTAAGTAATAATAATTACATTAATATAATGTAATTATATACATATAATATATATGAATGGTTATTAAATATAATAATAGTTAATGTGTGAATAATTATTAAGAACTAATACAACAAATATAAAAAGTACAACAAATATGAGAAATAAACATAATAAACATGAGAAATTGTTTTATAGGGCACGACTGAAGTATACGAAGGGCAAACCGCTCATTTCGAGTGCCAAGTGGAGCCTCTGCATGACGCTAATCTGAGAATTGAATTCTTCCACAACGGTAAACCTTTACCATCGGCGGCGCGTTTCCACGTGACCTTCGATTTTGGATACGTGGCATTAGATATCGGTCATGCCGTACCCGAAGACGCAGGGCAATATTCTGTACGTGCGATAAACGCGCTAGGACAATGTGTGTCGTCCATTGAGCTCAAGGTAATCCCACGAGATAGTATTATTTTGGATTCCCAACGACCCGAAGGAATGGACAAGATCCGGGAGCTCGAAGCTCAACAGCCATGGAAACGACCGGATGTACCGGAGCCTCAAACTCGGCAGCGTCCTGTCTTCACTCAACCATTACAAAATATCGACAATATCGCCGAGGGTCACACCGCGCATTTTGAATGCAGGCTCATACCCGTGGGTGATCCCATGCTTAAAGTGGAGTGGTTTAGAAACGAAGTGCCCTTGGAGACAAGTAAGAATCGTCAGAGATACGAACTTTCAATGCAAAACTTTGTTGATTCCACAAATATATTTAATATATTTGTAATTATCACGCAAAATTAATATTTGTTGCAATGTTTCTTGCAGGTTCGCGAATTACAAAAGTACATGACTTTGGCTACGTATCTCTGGACATCGCTCACGTACGTGACGAAGACGAAGGTGTTTACATGTGTCGCGCTTCTAATCCGTTGGGTGAAGCGGTTACAACGGCTTCGATGAAGATTAAAAGTGAGTGTCCGATTTTACCTCGTTTATTTAATACATAAAGATAAATTTAATGCGGTGTGAATTTAATTGATTTATCCATATATATAGCCAAGGCCAGCATACAATTAGATACTCAGCATCCGGAGGCGCAACGTAGAATCGCTCAATTGGAAACCAAGGAAGTCGGGCGACCCGAGGAGCCGGAAAAGGTCTTTGATAAACCGATTTTCACGCAATTATTAACCGGGCCAACGGAACTCTGGGAAGGACAAATGGCTAGATATGAATGTAGAGTCGTTCCTGTCGGCGATGCAAATTTAAAATTCGAGTGGTACATGAATGGAGTCGAATTAAAAATGGGTAAGAAAATACGATTTTATAATAAATTATCATTAATGTTACAAGTATTTGATTTAATAAAATTGTTGGGCTTTGTTATTCAGGTTCACGCTTTCACGTAAATCACGACTTTGGATACGTAACGCTAGACATTTTGAAAGTTATCCCCGAAGATTCCGGCGTCTATACTTGCAAAGCGATCAACAATGCAGGTGAGGCGGTTTCATCGATTTCCTTGAAAGTAAAAGCGCGTTCGGCTATCGCTTCTGAGAGCATACAAGCAGATGCGTGGCAAAAGATTCAATTGAAGGAAGCAGAGATGAATAAGGTACCGGAAATGTTTATTGACACGACACCACAACAGGCACCAGTTTTCACCAAGCATCTCGAGAGCTTCGATAAACTGGTAGAGGGTCAACGTGTTTATTTAGAGGCTCAGGTAGAGCCGCGAGCGGATCCCAACTTGAGAGTAGAATGGTTTAAAAATGGTATGCCTCTACAGACTGGAACTAGACTTCGTAGTACGTTCGATTTCGGTCTGGTAACGTTGTCGATCAACGGCTTGAGATCCGATGATTCCGCAATTTATACTTGCAAAGCGACTAATCTCTTGGGAGAGGCTGTGTCAACTTGTAGCTTAAAAATTGCCGATCGTCACTGGTTATTGGGAGACACTTTGCATCCGGACGCTTTGTCGAAAATCGATGCCTTGGAGCAGCCTCAGATAATTTCTACTGAACAACCGGAACCTATTTACGAAGAACCCGTCTTTATCACTCATCTGAACAACGTGGAGTGCATTGAAGGTGATAATGCTCACTTTGAATGCAATGTAGAGCCATCAAAAGATCCAACTATGAAGATTGAATGGTTCTTGAACAGTAAACCTTTACCGACCGGTGCAAGATTTAAGAGCACTTACGACTTCGGCTACGTGGCTCTGGATTTAAATCACGCTTACGAAGAAGATTCTGGCATAATTACTGTAAAAGCTACAAATTCGAAGGGAAGCGCGCAGACATCAGGTACTTTGAAATGCACCAGCAAACAAAACATTTATCTGCAAACACAACATCCACAAGGGGAAGCCGGACTTGAAAAAGTGAAAGAAGCAGAAGATGCTTATCTGTCAAAATACAAGAGACCGGAGGAAGGTCCTGAACACGAATTTCCTAAACCGATTTGGACGGTGCCACTTAAGCCTGAGTTTAAACTGGGAGAATCCGAACCGTTACATTTGGAAGGACAAGTCGAACCAAAAGATGATCCCAATTTAAAAATTGATTGGTATTTTAACGGAAAACCTTTAGAACATGGTTCGCGCTTCAAAATGACTAGCGATTTTGGATTTGTTACTTTGGATTTAACGGATGTTTATGAGCGCGATTCCGGTATTTATACCTGCAAGGCTTATAATAAAGCGGGCGAAGCCTTTACATCGACGACGATTTATTGCTCCACGAAAGAAAATATCATTGAAAAGTCGCAGCATCCCAAAGGTAAAGAAGGTCTCGAAGCGATCCAAGATTTGGAAGAATCCTTGAAACGACAAGAAGGAATTCCACCAGGAGAGGAAGAGGGTCAACCACCGATGTTTACGTCGCAATTTGAGAATCTAACTAATCTGTCGGAGGGAGAGATCGCTCACTTTGAAGCATCTCTCATCCCTACTGGTGATCAAACCATGGTAGTCGAGTGGTTTTACAATGGCAAAGCTTTAGAAGCCAGTCATCGTACGAGAACTGTTTACGCTTTCGGTATGGTTGTTCTTGAAGTTCTCGGCACTAAAATAGAAGATTCGGGTACTTATATCTGTAGAGCCACCAACAAATGGGGTAAAGCAGAGATCAGCGTACAGCTTGAATGTATTGACAAGTCTAAAGGACAGAAGCCTAAATTCACAACGCATATACAGTCTTTGGAGGGTCTAAAAGATGGACAATCGGCTCACTTCGAATGTACTCTCATCCCAGTGGGAGATCCTCACATGAAAGTTGAATGGTTCCACAATGGAAAACCATTGCGGCATTCTTCGCGTTTTAAGATGGTTTCCGATTTCGGTTTTGTAGTTATGGATATCGCCGGAGTGATGTCTCACGACACTGGTGAATACGTTTGCAAAGCTAGCAACAAGTATGGTGAGGATTATACAAAAGCTACAATCAAGTGCTTTGGCAAGAGCGGAGTTTACTTGGATTCTCTGCAGCCAGACTCGCTCGCTAGAATACGGGAACTCGAAAGTTACACCGGAGAACAAGTGACCACTCCTACGACTCCCGTCGCCGAACCGCCGAAATTCATCACGCAAATCGCTGATATTACAAAACTGGTAGAGGGACAGTCTGCACACTTCGAAGCCAGACTGACCCCGATAAACGATCCCGATTTAAAAGTCGAGTGGTATTATAATGGCAAGAAACTTCCTCACGGCCATCGATACCGTACCTTCCACGATTTTGGTATTGTTATCCTGGACATACTTTATTGTTACGAAGAGAATTCCGGAGTTTACGAATGCAGAGCCGTCAACAAGTACGGCGAAGATTCTACGAAAGCATCGCTCAAATGCTTCTCCAAGGCTAATCTTATTTTAGAGTCGCAACTTCCAAAAGGCATGGAAGGCGGTCTAGAGAAAATTCAAAATCTTGAAGATTCAATGATACGTACGAGAGACGAAAAGACTGTAGAAGAACGTGGCAAAGCTCCAATGTTTACTGTACCTTTAAGTAATATCGATGGTCTACGCGAGGGAGAGAGCGCGCATTTCGAGGCACGATTAATACCTACAGACGATCCAAAATTAAAGGCAAGTTTTAAAATTATTTTAATTCTAGTCTATATATTATAGCTGTGTATATATTTATTTTACATTAATATGATATGTTATATTACATTGTCATATTATTATATTATATTATATATTATATTTATTATATTATATTGCTTTTATACGCGCAGGTCGAATGGTTCTGGAACGGTAAACCATTGCGAACGGGATCTCGTTTCCGCACTTTTTGCGATTTTGGTTTCGTCATTTTGGAAATTTCTCCCATTTATCCTGAGGATTCGGGTGAATATAGTTGTAGAGCGACGAATGATTACGGTGAGGCGGTGACAACGTGCACTATGAAGTGTACGGGGAAACGTAGTATTATTTTGGAGTCTCAGCTACCCAAAGGAATGGAAAGTACGATTGATAAGATCGCTGAATTAGAAGGCCTTGGAACCGTTCCGGGTCAAGCCAGTCCTGAGGATGACACCGGGAGACCACCCGAATTTATTACGACTCCTTCTGATCTGACTTTGGCTGAAAACTCTCTTGCTCACTTCGAATGTCGACTGCAGCCAATTAATGATTCTAGCATGAGAGTTGAATGGTTTCACAATGGCAAGCCTCTTCTCGCTGGTAGTAGAATCAAGACAATTCACGACTTTGGTTTTGTTATTCTGGAAGTTGCAAACTGCTATCAACGCGACTCCGGTCTATACACCTGCAAAGCCACTATTCCGGAGTTTACGAATGCAGAGCCGTCAACAAGTACGGCGAAGATTCTACGAAAGCATCGCTCAAATGCTTCTCCAAGGCTAATCTTATTTTAGAGTCGCAACTTCCAAAAGGCATGGAAGGCGGTCTAGAGAAAATTCAAAATCTTGAAGATTCAATGATACGTACGAGAGACGAAAAGACTGTAGAAGAACGTGGCAAAGCTCCAATGTTTACTGTACCTTTAAGTAATATCGATGGTCTACGCGAGGGAGAGAGCGCGCATTTCGAGGCACGATTAATACCTACAGACGATCCAAAATTAAAGGCAAGTTTTAAAATTATTTTAATTCTAGTCTATATATTATAGCTGTGTATATATTTATTTTACATTAATATGATATGTTATATTACATTGTCATATTATTATATTATATTATATATTATATTTATTATATTATATTGCTTTTATACGCGCAGGTCGAATGGTTCTGGAACGGTAAACCATTGCGAACGGGATCTCGTTTCCGCACTTTTTGCGATTTTGGTTTCGTCATTTTGGAAATTTCTCCCATTTATCCTGAGGATTCGGGTGAATATAGTTGTAGAGCGACGAATGATTACGGTGAGGCGGTGACAACGTGCACTATGAAGTGTACGGGGAAACGTAGTATTATTTTGGAGTCTCAGCTACCCAAAGGAATGGAAAGTACGATTGATAAGATCGCTGAATTAGAAGGCCTTGGAACCGTTCCGGGTCAAGCCAGTCCTGAGGATGACACCGGGAGACCACCCGAATTTATTACGACTCCTTCTGATCTGACTTTGGCTGAAAACTCTCTTGCTCACTTCGAATGTCGACTGCAGCCAATTAATGATTCTAGCATGAGAGTTGAATGGTTTCACAATGGCAAGCCTCTTCTCGCTGGTAGTAGAATCAAGACAATTCACGACTTTGGTTTTGTTATTCTGGAAGTTGCAAACTGCTATCAACGCGACTCCGGTCTATACACCTGCAAAGCCACCAATCGCCACGGCGAAGCCACGGTATCGTGCAAACTTCAAGTCCGCGGACGTCAAGGTATTATCTTGGAGCCACAGTTACCGACCAATTTCAAAACCGGTACGGAAAGCATTCAGAAATTGGAGGAGTCTTTGTACAAGAGAGATGAGATCCTAGCAGAGGAAGAAACACCGAATCCACCGAGATTCACCGTCGAACTTAAAGACATCGAAGTTGAAGAAGCCGGACCGAGCCATTTCGATTGCAGAGTCGAACCTGTGGGTGATTCTACTATGCGCATTGACTGGTTCCACAACGGCCGGCCCTTCGCGACCGGCTCTCGAGTTCATCAAATTAATGATTTCGGATTTATATCACTGGATATGTCGTATACATACGCGCGAGACAGCGGCGAGTATGTCTGCAGAGCCACTAATAAATGGGGCTCCGCTACTACCAAGGCCACCATCACTTGCAAATGTAAGTTACGCGATTGAACCAGATCTCTAAAATATTTCTAAATTAATATACTTTTATATTTAAAAAAAACTTGCTTTATATTATAATAATACATAATAAAAATAATCTTTTTCTTTTGCAGCCAAGAAAACGATAGATTTCGACTCTCAATTGCCAACGGGAATGAGCGGAGAGAAGCTGAAGGAATTGGAACGAGGTCCAGTATCTCAAGCTCCCGCGGAAGAAGCGCCACGACAACCGCCGCATTTCATCACGCAGATTCAATCAGCAACCATCGACGAAGGTGAACCGGTCAGATTCGAATGTCGTGTGGAGCCCAAGGACGATCCTAATTTACGCATCGAGTGGTATAGAAATAGTAAATTGATACCCGCTGGGCACAGATATAGAACGGTATACGATATGGGATTCGTATCGATGGATATCTTGTACGTCTATCCCGAGGATTCCGGTGAATACGTTTGCAAGGCCATCAATGACCTCGGAGAAGACGCTACTCGAGCTGCTATATCCTGCAAAAGTATGTTTTTAATTTTTGTATATTTTCTATTTTAGCCAGATTAACTATATTATAGTGTACTCATATTAAATTTCTGTTTCACAGAATTACCAAGCATTATTCTGCAAAATCAAGTACCCAAGGGTATGAAGAAATCCGAGGCCTTGATGCAAATGGAAGCGACAATTAAAAAGTATACGTCGGAAATTCACTTAACCGAGGACGATCTATATGACGCGGACAAAAAACAGCCGCCTCGCTTCGTCACGCAGATTCAAGATCAGACCGATCTCGTTGAAATGAATAGCACTAAGTTTGAATGCCAATTAGCACCCGTGGGTGATCCAAATATGAAGGTTGAATGGTTCTTCAATGGAAAACCATTACCTCATAAGAATCGATTTACGCCTATCTACGATTTTGGCTATGTAGCGATGAACTTTGGTTGGGTCTATCCAGAAGACAGTGGCGAGTATCTATGCAGAGCTACTAATCTTTATGGAATGGACGAGACCAGAGCTATAATCAGAACTGCGGGAAAACCTGGAATTATCTACGAGTCTCAGCTTCCGAAAGGCATGAAAAGTATCGAGAAGATCAGAGAAATGGAAGCAGCATTTCTATACATAATATATCTTGAATTATTATACGTATTCAAGAAAAATAAGATGAGTCGTTTTCCGAATGCAAAGAGATTTATTTGCCCGTATTTGATTTGAAGATTGCCACGGCAACGTGAAACAAATATTATTTAAAAAATTATTTACGCTTTTTGCAGCGTACCTGAAGAGGAAGGTGAAGAAGAGAAAGTACGCTCGGCGCCTGTTTTCGTGAGTAAACCAGAAGCGGTAACCGTTGAAGAAGGCGACTGGTCCAGATTCTGCTGTCGGGTCACTGGATATCCAAGGCCTCGAGTTATGTGGATCATCAATGGCCATACAGTAGTTAATGTGAGTTCAGAAATATCATTTCTGAAATTAAAGTAAATGATGATGTTGACATTTCCCCAAGAAATGCGCTTATAATGTTATTATATCGAATTTGTCTCTTTTTCTCCCTCAGGGATCTCGCTATAAACTAACATATGACGGTATGTATCATCTCGATATCCCGAAGACCAGACAATACGATCACGGCAAGGTGGAAGTGATTGCAAGAAGCTCCGTTGGTGAAACACGTACAGAAACGACTTTAACGGTTAAGCAACGAAGTGACGACTATCGTGGTGTATTGAAAAATTCTCCAAGACGTAAGTTTACATTCCGACTATCATACACACATTCGGCCATGAATTCTTCGTGTCACAATGGAATAAAATCTTACAGAGTACTAGTATACATAGTATATAATACAGTTGCATTCAACAGAGCATTAAGTATATAAAATATAAATTTATGGCGGATGCCAAATTTAATTAATTAATAACTTTTACATTACGGAAAAAAGCTGCATCACGAAGAATTCACGCGCAGAATAACAACAATATTGAACGGATTACAACGGTACAAAAAAAGATCACACGTAAAAATGAACGAAGCGGTTGTAAATCTCCAATGACGATTCGCAAGATGCGAGCATGGATTGGAAAGTATCGAACAACCGAAACACAGTACATATAATATATATCGATACGACACATGCATTCCATTCGAATACAAAAAAAAACACTCTAAACCATTGAAACATAATCCCTCCCCTCCCCGTTTTCCACTTGGCCCTCCAAAGCTATTGAAAATCATCCCGAGTTCGTCAGCTTCTTCTGCTTCTCCTTCTTCTTCATCGTGATTGGGAATATCGACGGAAATATTAGAGCGAAATGGTCTTAAATCAAAGGTATCGTATACTTGATTTTTCACATCGACATTCAGGTATGGAAAATAATCGTCGGAAGAACATTCGTATTGTTTTATATTTTATTAATGTTTTTTTTGTTTCATAAATGTGATATTGTTGCGCTAGAGAAAACGGGTCTATTGCTCACATAACATTGTAAGATTATTAAACTATTTTATCTATTTCTTTTATTTATTATATATGAACTTACATATATTCGTCATATTATTAATCTATTTAAGATATTTATTTAATACTTGCTTATTCATGCTGCATGGATCGTATCGCTTTCTTGCTATTAAAGTAATTTGCATAAAATATTATCTGTAGAAAGCAAACATTGAGCAGATTTCCCTATTTCTCAATATTGCGCAATCAATATAATTTAATCCTATAATCATCTTGATTTAATCTCTATTTAATTTGTTTTTTTTCTTTGTTTTGAGGTATGTATTTCCTCATCGCGTTTCGTTTACCATCCTTTAATGTCTCGCACGAAAAGTAGAGAGAGAGCGATTGCATATATTAAAACTAATTCATTGAAGCAAAATTCTACGAGTTATGCGAATTCAGTTAATTAGACAAAATAATTTTGCAGCAGTTTTTTTGCCCCTTTAAATCTGAAACAAAGCCTTCTCATAGCACGAAGGAAAGCACGTTCGTAAAAAGAGAGAAAAAGAATTTAATCCAACAATGTTTTTGATGATATGATCGCAGCAAAATAATTTCAGATATATGTTAACCACTTGAATTTTCCAAATCCAGCTCGATCCCTATTATTTAAGTGTCGTCGATATGTGTTGCATCGTCATTTACGTACTGTGTCTTAAATATCGTGGGATTTCCGGTTAGACTTTTTGTTCTTTGGTTAAGAAAAGTGCAAAGTTTTACTTTACAATAGAATATTTTGATTTTTCAATAAATCATAATAAATGATCCGTTACATCTTTCAGCAAAGATGTATGCACAAACGCTAATATACTTGCACATATACCTTACCAAAGGACATTGTATTGTATTTGTCGAGATCAATCAATCGATGTATCCGCTCGAAGCACGCGCGTCTCGTTTATATCGAGTACGAGATACACACATACACACAAGGACACAAATATAACATATTATTTCTTTAGCCTGGTACGATTATGGGCTAACACAGTACCAAACCGAGCGACAGAACACAGAATTGGAGCGCGTGTTCGATGAACGTCACCAAAGCGTTTCCCAAGGCATCGAAATTGCCACCGAGCATCTTGGTCATAAAGTCATTAAAGAGCCCGAGACTGAATGGCAGAAATCTGTCAAGAGCAAAAAGAACGAGGACTATTATAGTAAGCTGATGAGCCTTGAAGAGGAACAAGTGCTTAAAGAAACCAGATTAAGGGAGACCTCGCATCAGTTTGCTATTCCTGGCGAAAAAGTCGTTGCACATTCTCTAGCAAAGGGAATGGCTCAGAAATATGAAGAGAATTTGTAAGTATTGTAATAAATATTTGATAAGAAAAATGTGTTATCAACACACGTTTTTTTTGGCAATGATGGTGATGCTAATCATTGATTTCTCATAACCAGAGAGGAACAACCTCAGCAACCCGTGGAAACATCTCCAAAATATGTAAAGAAACCATTCGTTACCGAAGTAGATATAGACACGGAACGCGTTGAAGCTGCTGGAAAATATCCTCCGGGTCCGTCCGAATCCACAATTCATGGTCGCGAAGTTCACGTAGCTAAGCAAAAACAGACGCAAAAGGAAGTCAAGGGTGACTTGGAAATAACAAGAAAGATCACAGCAACGGAAACTACAGAAGTAGAACACAAGGCGAAGACGCAGGAACGTGTGGTTCAAGGGCAAGTGAAACCTGCCAAACCGCCTGTCTTCACGAAAAAAATTCAACCGTGCAGAGCATTTGAGCAAGAACAGGCGAAATTTGAAGTGGAATTCGACGGCGATCCGTTACCGACCATCAAATGGTATCGCGAAGATTTTCCCATACAAAACTCGGCCGATCTCCAAATTTACACCTTCAGCACCAAATCGGTATTAATTGTCAGACAAGTTTTTATGGAAGACTCCGGCGTCTTTTCCGTCATTGCTGAGAATAGAGGAGGGAAAGCCAAGTGCAGCGCCAATTTGGTCGTGGAGGAACGTAGAAGGCAACCTGGACGAGGTGGCGCGGTGCCACCCAGTTTCTTATCCACGATTCAATCTACTTCTGTAGCCACTGGACAACTTGCCAGGTTCGATGCGAAAATTACTGGCACCAAGCCTCTGGACGTTTACTGGCTCAAGGTAAAAGATGCGCAATATATATTTACTACAATTTTAATGCATGTGCAATTGTAACGCATGCAGAAAGCAAGAAATTTAAACTTGAATTTATATTTGAATATTTTCTTTATTATAGAATGGCAAGAAGATAACGGCAGATATCCGTTACAAAACTTTAGAAGAGGATAACACGTATACACTTCTAATCTTAGAGACGATACCGGAGGACACTGGCAAGTATGAATGCGTTGCAATTAACAATGCCGGAGAAGCGCGTTGCGAAGCAGAATGTACCGTTCGCGGACCTCAATCGCCGACAAAAGTTGCAAAACCCACGACGCCGACGGTGGAAAAAGCGCCAACTGTTTTGGAACCATTAAGAGATCAAACTATCAAAGAGGGAACGTCCGTTGCTTTCGCTTGCAGAATTACAGGAAAGCCTGTTCCGACTGTGCAGTGGAAGAAAGCCGATAAGGTATCTAGAGCGTTGTAATAATAATTATAACATTACAAATTTCTTTAATAAAAAATTTAACTCGAATGCTTATCGCGTTTGCGTAGGTGATTAAACCGTCAAAGTACTTCCAAATGCAGAAGGAAGGCGATTTATGTACTCTGAGAATTTCCGAAGCGTTCCCCGAAGACGAAGGTGTTTACAAATGCATCGCTAAAAATCCCGCTGGTGATGTAACGACATTCGCCAATCTCAGAGTTCTCGGTAAGAAAAAAGAAAAAAATCAAGTTTATTTTTATAAAGTTTCTTTTTGTTTCAACCTATTAAATCATAAAGAAATAATTGTTATATTGTTTTCGACTAGCGCCCGATACAGCTGATGTTCTGCCAAAATTGACACCTCTTAAGGACCAAATAGTCGTTGAGGGACAGCCTGCTCAATTTAAGACTCAAGTGACTCCGACAAAGCCTAAGCCGACAATTCAATGGTATCGAGAAAGTGCCTTGATCCCACAATCACCAGACTTCCAGGTAAGATAAGTCCCGCTCTGTTATTCTTTTATGAAGTATCGAGAAAAATTTTGTTGGAGCCTTTATAATATTCAAGGAAACATGGCATATCACATTTTTCAGATGATTCACGAAGGCAACAATGCGGTGCTACTTATAGCAACCACGTACGAGGAGGATACTGGCACTTTCACCTGCCGTGCTACAACTTCAGCCGGTACCGTAGAAACGTCCGCCAAACTCATCGTCAAAAGTAAGAACTGAAAATACAGATTCGATTGCTAACATGATACGCGATTGGATTTATATTATAAATACATCTCCAACAACTGCCGGAGACGAATACTATACTCGAGACAGTAGCATGACAAATTAATAACATTAGTGACTTAATTTGGGATACTAATATTGTTTTAAATCTTAAAAGAGATGAGAATTTATTAACTCAATTATCCTATTGTACGCACCGATTAAATTTCAATTATCAGAAGCTCTTTGTCTTTCGATATTCGCAAATGTATGTATACGCAATGTACGATTTCAGAATGGTTGATTAATTTTCAATAACGAAATAAATGTAAAAAGATTGTAAAGTAAAATGACGTATAAAGTTGATCACATTGGAAGAATTTAAAAATTTTTCTAATTATTTAATCATTACTAACGTACATCAATTGCCGCCTAACGTATTCTCTCTCATTGCGACTCTTAAACATCTTTACATCGTCTCAAGTACGGCCGTCTCCGCGCAGCGCGATTTGCCGCGTAAATATCCACTCGTATTTTATTTTTGTGCTTTGTTGTTGCCTCTTTTAAAAAACGTAACCTGTCGATATATCGCCCTAGATTTCCTCACTTCGATCACATCCTCTAATCAACAGTGTCACGCGCGTCCGGGGAGTTTGTACTAACTCGTTTTTGAAAATAGTTGAGCGAGTGAAACGAGGAGTAATTAATTAACAGACTTGAGAGGTTGTATTGCAAAATATCATGATTCTCGGTGAAAAATACCGTGATACGTATCATCCAAGTGTATATAAAAGTCGCAAAGGTGGTGCTGAAATTGAAGTGCTGTAAAAGCAATATATCATATAATGAAAATCGAAACTGTTTGTAAATGTGGTGGATCGGAACAAGCGCAGATTACTTGAGATCAGCTTAAGGCAGATGCCGAGGGAGCGAAACGTCTTACCCAGTGTTCCGTGCTCTCGATATTTTAGCTTTTATCTCAAGACAAAAATGTGAATTCACCTTATAACAAGTACTATCAATTCTCTGTAAATAGATAATGTAGTAATATGGAATTCTGCGCGACATTAGTCATGAGATAAAAATGAGAAAGGATCAGTAGCGGTGCGACTGCGTTGAATACGTAACTCGTTTACTCGTTCGCTGTAGTCTTGATATCTATTATAAAAAATACATCGTAAAATAGAAAAAAATATATATATACATTTATACATACATAATCTTGNTATATGTATATGCCCATTACAATTATAAATATTCATTTACTAAAGAAATCACACAACACATACACACATGGATAGAAATACTCGATATCTAACAATTTACTAATCGAATATTTATTATTGTACAATGAAAATCGCAATAAAACCGAATGTTGTAAGTACGTCCAAGTCTCGTTTGTTGCCGTTTCGACGACCGTCGCCTAATGATTATAATATGTCGTCGTAAATGACGATTTTATCGCGACCATCTTATATAAGAGAATCTTTGTGGCAATTGAAGATTCAGGTCAGGATCAATATGTCGTAAAATATGTGTAAAAACTGCATAATTATTAATGTAATATGTCTATAAAGTTCGCACTATACGATAAATTATTCGAGATCGTTACACTCGATACTCTTTTCGTGGTGAAATAAAACTATATCTGTATACCGTTGGATCTTTGTAACGGAGAACGTGCTTCCGTTGAATTCTCTGGGGTGTATCATACGTGAAGAGGAAAAAACATAGCAAAAAGTTTATAAAAAAAGAAAGCTGCTATAAAATAGAAATGAAGATTTTTTTGTTCATTTCTCTTCGATAGAAAAACTATCGCGGAAGCACATAACCGGTTTGACTTGCGTTTATATAATAGATATTTTTATAAATAACAAGTTCGCAGATATATACACGTATATTTATGTTAACGTTTCTGTCAGGCGGCACACGTTCCGAGCGGAAAAGCAGATGAAGTGTCGTGTGCACACTCGGCTAGGCCCTTTTCTTAAGCTATTTTTGAACACGTGATGTGTATTACATTACCTAGCTATATTTGGCCGCCGGCTTGGAACTCCGCGAAGATTCATCGACCACGACGAATCGTGGGTTGTTCTCGCTTATAAACGCTTTAAAGAATTGTTTAAAACTGACTTATAATCCGCATTGGTCTACCATCTTTATATTTTAAACGCTTTTACTTTTCATTATTATTCTATTAAAATTAATAGTTTGTAAGTTTATTATACGATTTTTTATATTTTAAAATGCGTTGCATGATATACACGGATAGGATCTTTAAACGGAGAATACTTAAGCGTGTTACATATATCGCTAAGAATATCTGCTATTCATCAGAAATTTATGTGGATTATAAATTCTACGTGAACATCAAAAATTTTGAATATTTGTTCCCAGCCGTCGAAAATTTCACACATCGAATTGAACGAGTATATTTTCAAAGAATACATGCATCAATTTTCTTTCTCAGTTATTTCTAAATATCTAACTGGTGAAAAGAAGAATTCTCAAGAATTAAATTCAGTTCTTTGCGTTTTAAACGCGAGCCATTATGAGCAAAAAAGTACGAGCAGCTTTGGGCGACCTTGAAGATGGAACGATAGTACACTTTTCAAGAGGACAAATGGGCACGCTGATTCATCAAGGAGATATTCTTTTCCGTGGTCCAGCTCTCTGTCTTTGATCCCAGACTCCCAGACTACCACCTTCGTTCGACGCTTCGTCAGCACGGTGATTTCGAAGGAAGAAGCTGGTCGAGGTAGTTAACTATTTTGGCTCCGTCCCGAGCCAGCTGCCAATGATTCAGTCATGCCAGAAATAATACGGGGAAGAGCGTGTCAGCGCACTCTGCAAAATGAGAGAAAATTATTTTTGTTAAACCAGCAATTCAGGAGTTCACAAGATATACGACTACGTTTTAATCGTCCATTGCAATTGGAAACTTTGCGATATCTAATTATGGTGTGATCGTATTCAGTACAACCGTTAAGAAATATTTCACGAAAAGAATGTGAATCAATAATTTGCTAAACTTTTCAAGCGCTCTTGTCTAATTTTATTTGATTTATACTACTCGAGATGATTGTCACACGAACCAAGAGTTAAATTTGAACTAAGATTATTTACTATTTGCTTAAAGAATAAATTTTTACCATTGCTTTGCATTCTTTCTCGATTTTTTGAATTAGAGTTAAAAATAAAATTTGTATTTATTTTAAAAATGTAATATAACTTCACTGATTGACAGTATGATATTGCATGACGTTTTAATATGATGCTGCATTACATTTACGAATTAAAAATTATCTTTTTTATATAAATTTATTTGACGTGATAAGGAATAAAAAACGAACACATGTTTATATGCGTTTATCTCTCGCTATCTTTATTTTTAATTCTGTACATAATCATACTGAAAATTCAATTTTTCGTAAATCATCGAATAAACTGTACGTCATCGTGTAGAAAGTAGTATATTACTATCCCTATATTTAAACGCATAAACACAATCTTTTGAACTTCAAATATTTAATTGTAGAGACTAAGTCTCCTATCTTTCTCATGACTTAGATAATTTCTCGCACCATTACATCAATAATTAGATAATATACAGTCGCACTTTATACACAAATCTAAAATAGAGAATAGCTAAAAAATTTTATATTAATAAGAAAGCGCTTTGTTTCTTGGAAATGAAAATAAAATCTGATTAGCACAATACAAAAATACAAAAAGGAAAAAAAATAAGAAATAGACGATATTTATAGACAGGTATATATATACACACATAAATTGTTAAATAATTCACTACTCAAAATAAAGATATAGACACGGATATTTCAAATGCACCACCTTTACGATGTTGCGGTAAAATGAATTCGAATGTGTCCAATTCGAATGCGGCTGCACTTCGGTCGAGAACGTGGAAAAGACCTCGCTATAAAATAACTAGTGCAAGGGATGTATCTTCTTGACCGAAGGCAGCAAAATCTGTCAAAAATCACATTTCTTCCTTTTAAATGTCACTTTCAAATTTCCTTTCAAATGTCACTGTTTCACTAAATGATACAATCACTACAATATCACCTAGAAGAAGCACGATCATGGTTTCCCTTCGTTCCTTCGTCTTCGACTTCCAACAGATTACTATTACGGCTAGATGTAGCACGAAGTAGGGGCGTGTGTCTTGTACGTCAAGAATCCCCACCGAGTTACTCTCGCGGAAGACTATTACTTGAGGGAAACTCACTTCGCGAATACTACAAATGAACGTCACATGACTTAGGCGACCACATTTAATATAATCCATCTTTGCAATCTCGTGTCTTTATGTCTTGCTAAAATTAATAATGTCACAGTTATTATTGCACATTATTGTCATCATGTGGCATTTTATTGTCTTTCTGAAGAAAAATTCCTACGCAATCACACAAGTCGCAGATACCAAATTTTTATTTAGTTCATTTACAAATGATGCAAAAGATCGACGAATCCACGCGTCTTGCATTCTTACTATATATTTTTTAATATCTATATCTTGTGTGTAGCTATAATTGACGTGTGTTTGACTGATCCGTTACTTCATTGTGTTGTCAACATCAATGTATATCCTGTAAATACATATAAATATTTTAATTTTTTTATTTTTGTCTATTAATAAATGTTAAATATAAGCATTCATGCACTCCAATAATTAATTATTGTATTAATTACTATAATAAACTAATACAAAAAATACATACGTTTTTATTGCTGTAATATATTCAAGTAAAGGCAGATGTTAAGTTAAATATAATATTTTACAAATTATTATTAATAACTCGAATAATTCGTTCTTCCAAGGTCGACAGATATCTGGCAAATTGCCTGATTTCTACCCAGGAAAGTTAATTCAGCCAAAATCTATTCTCCTTTATTTTGCAATTATGAAATAGATTTTCAAATGATGTTACAAATGTACGATTAAACACGAAGTATAATTAATTCTACGGCATTAATGTTAATAATTCGTTGCTTTATAAAAATGTTTTTCATTAGTGCAACATGCATGTATCGCAGATTCGGCATAATATCAACAAAGCTTCTGCTTAGCTCAACATGCGTGATGTGATGTGAAACAAACAATTAAAAATATTCAAAGTTATTTAAAGCAACTTTTCATAACTTACAGAAAGAAAAGAAGCCTCTTACGTGGTTTCCGCAGAAACGGATGCCAGTATAGAAATAGATGCAAAACTTCAGCAAGATTTGAAAGAAGATATCATTTTAAAATCTTTAGTTCTTGACGAGAATGGCTTACCGCTTGAAGTACCGCTTCAACCAGGTGATGAATCGCTACCCTGGAGAAAAGAGCGCGTTCAGCATCGACCTCGAATTAGTGACTCACTTCCATGGAGGAAAACAAGATCGAGAGACTCCTCTTTAGACAAGCTTCGACCTTTCGAAAGTCAAATTAAACCATGGACTGAGGAAGAAGTGACTTTGAAAAAAACTCCCAAAATTATCAAAGATGTAACTAAAGAAAAACTGGAAGAGGTTGAATTGAAGCCGACAAAGATTGAGAAAAAAGAAATTCATAGATCCGATCTTGAAACGATTCAACTAAAATCTGTGCCTAAAGATGTAACAAATATTGTAGCAACCGAAAAAGAAGTTATACGTAGCGATGATACTACGATTGAACTTTACAAAGAGGAAGCAGATGCTCTTCTGCTGAAAACATCGCATCGTTTAGATGAAATTGTGTCGAGAAAAGAGAAAAGCAAAGGAGCAAAATCATGGACAGAGGAACAAATTGCCTTAAAGAAAACGAAACCAAAGACAAAAGAAATTCTAGAAATAGATATTGTAGAAAAGATGGATTATATCGAACAGGAAGACAGTTCTTTACTTAAAATTTCAAAGGATGAGGAAACGCGTAGAACTAAAAAGGAAAAGTTTATCGAAGAAAAACCAGAGCAACTCAAACCTTGGACGGAAGAGAAAATTGCTCTGAAAAAAGCAAAATTAGAAAAAAAAGAGATACCTAAGGAAACACTCGAAACCATTACACTGAAACCTTCACAAACAACAAAAAAAGACATTGTAAAGCCAATCTTAGAAAAAGATCTTAAGCCGATTTCAAAAAAAGAACCTGAAATAATTTCAATAGAAAAAATTACGCCCCTCGATGTTTCTACAGTCAAAGAAGCGAGAAGGGCGAGTAAAGACGTGACAGATATAGATAAGACAGATAATCTAAAACCATGGACAGAAGAGAAAATTACTTTAAAGAAATCTAAAGTTCTCCAAAAAGAAATAGAAAAAGAGGTTATAGAAACGGTGGAATTAAAACCATCTAAACTTACTAAACTGGCATTTAGAAAACCGAGTTTAGAGAAAGTAGATTTAAAACCTGTCACAAAAGAAAAGCCAAGTATTACAGAAACCTTTAAAAGAGCTGACTACATTGAACAGGAAGATACTACATTACTTCAGGTTTCAACTGAGTACGACATTGCCAAACTAAAACCAACAAAACCGCATGTAAGCGGAAAAGCAATACAAGAAGAAAAAGATGACGTCAAAGCTATGGGAATATATGCTGAAGAAGAAGATACAACTTTACTTACATCGGAACGTACAATGTCGGAAACTACAATTAGCACTGACAAAAAAATAAAGAGACAAGAAGAAACATTACAAGAAAAGCCACAATTAAAGCCATGGACAGAAGAAAAAGTAATTCTGAAGAAAACAAAACCAGAGCAAAAAGAAATACGCAAAGAAACTTTTGAGGAAATATCATTAAAACCAGTATTAAGAATCGACAAAGAAATAACAGCGAAAGAAGAAATAACAGAGAAAGTCGATTTAAAACGTGTTAAAACAAAAACTATGGATTTGACGGATATTAAAGAGCAACAAGAAAAAATACCATATCACGAAGAAGAAGATAAAATTATTATTAAAACGGATAAAGATAACGAGTCAATTAAGAAAGTGAAAGGTAAGAAAAACGTTGCAGAAAGTGTACCATACACGGAAGAGGAAGATATCACGATGATTGCCATCGAAAGAACCGACGAAACAATCGAGAAATCTATGAAGGAAGAAGTACCGGTACCATGGATTAGAGGGAAAAAAGCAAAAGAAAGAAAAGAAGCTGAAGAAATAAAACCAATTCAAATAACTAAACCTGAAACTGGTTTGGAAGAAGATAAATCTATAGAGATTTCAGAAGCTCCATGGCGTCGTAAATCAAAGCCTTCGGCGATTCAAAAGAAAATTTCGGAAGAATCAATAAAAGATGATACTAAAGAAGTATCTGAAATAATTTGGCGAAAACCTAAAAAAGATAAAACGATAAAAGCCGTTAAAGAAGAACCACAGGTTGAAGACTTTACATCCGTTGTATTAAAACCGGCAAAACGATATGAAAAACCTGAAGAACAGAAATCAACAGAAGAAATTGTACTAAAACCAGTAAAACGAATATCCAAAGAGGAAGAAGTACCAGAAACAATCACTCTTAAACCGGTTATAAAGGAAAAAGCAGAAACAAAAGCTTTACCTGAAAAAGTCGAAGAAATCATTAACGGAGATGTACCTACTGAAAAGGTAGATTTACCGTGGAGACGTGGAAAGAAACCAACGCAAACTGAGAAGAAATCCGAAGATGTACAGTTAGTGGAGAAACCTAAAGAATCGAAACTTGAGGAAATCATATTGAAGCCTGTTAAAAAGCTTCCTAAAGAGCAAGAATCAAAGGAATCAATTGTTTTAAAACCAGTGGAAAAAGAAAAAGTTGAAAAAAAACCGGAAGAGATTCGATTGAAACCAGTGAAAAGAATAGAGAAACCCGAAGAACCGAAACATGAGGAAATCGTATTAAAGCCTGTTAAAAAGCTTCCTAAAAAGGAAGAAACAAAGGAATCAATTATCTTAAAGCCAATAGATAAAGAAAAAGTCGAAGAAAAATCGGAAGAAGTTCGATTGAAACCAGTAAAAAGGATAGAGAAACCCGAAGAACCGAAACCTGAGGAAGTCGTATTAAAACCTGTTAAAAAGCTTCCTAAAGAGGAAGAAACAAAGGAATCAATTATCTTAAAGCCAATAGATAAAGAAAAAGTCGAAGAAAAATCGGAAGAAGTTCGATTGAAACCAGTAAAAAGGATAGAGAAACCCGAAGAACCGAAACATGAGGAAATCGTATTAAAGCCTGTTAAAAAGCTTCCTAAAAAGGAAGAAACAAAGGAATCAATTATCTTAAAGCCAATAGATAAAGAAAAAGTCGAAGAAAAATCGGAAGAAGTTCGATTGAAACCAGTAAAAAGGATAGAGAAACCCGAAGAACCGAAACCTGAAGAAGTCGCATTAAAACCTGTTAAAAAGCTTCCTAAAGAAAAGCTTCCTAAAGAGGAAAAAACAAAGGAATCAATTGTTTTAAAACCAATAGAAAAAGAAAAAGTTGAGAAAAAACCGGAGGAGATTCGACTGAAACCAGTAAAAAGGATAGAGAAACCCGAAGAACCAAAAACTGAAGAAGTCGTTTTGAAACCTGTTAAGAAGCTTCCTAAGGAGGAAGAAACAAAGGAATCAGTTGTTTTAAAACCAGTGAAAAGGAAGAAAATAGAGGAAAAACCTGAAGAGGTTCGATTGAAACCAGTAAAAAGGATAGAGAAACCCGAAGAACCGAAACCTGAAGAAATTGTATTAAAACCTGTTAAAAAGCTTCCTAAAGAGGAAGAAACAAAGGAATCAATTATCTTAAAACCAATAGAAAAAGAAAAAGTCCCGGAAAAACCGGAGGAGATTCGATTGAAACCAGTGAAAAGGATAGAGAAACCCGAAGAAACAAAACCTGAGAAAATAGTTTTGAAACCTGTTACAAAGCTTCCTAAAGAGGAAAAAACAAAGGAATCAATTGTTTTAAAGCCAATAGAAAAAGAAAAAGTCGAAGAAAAACCGGAAGAAGTTCGATTGAAACCAATAAAGACGATAAAGAAACCCGAAGAACCGAAACCTGAGGAAGTCGTATTAAAACCTGTTAAAAAGCTTCCTAAAGAGGAAGAAATAAAGGAATCAATTGTTTTAAAACCAATAGAAAAAGAAAAAGTCGAAGAAAAACCCGAAGAAGTTCGATTGAAACCAATAAAGAGGATAAAGAAACCCGAAGAACCGAAACCAGAGGAAGTCGTATTAAAACCTGTTAAAAAGCTTCCTAAAGAGGAAGAAACAAAGGAATCAATTGTTTTAAAACCAGTGGACAAAGAAAAGGTCGAAGAAAAACCCGAAGAAGTTCGATTGAAACCACTAAAAAAGATAGAGAAACCCGAAGAACCAAAACCTGAGGAAGTCGTATTAAAACCTGTTAAAAAGCTTCCTAAAGAGGAAGAAATAAAGGAATCAATTGTTTTAAAACCAGTGGAAAAAGAAAAAGTCGAAGAAAAACCCGAAGAAGTTCGATTGAAACCAGTGAAAAGAATAGAGAAACCTGAAGAACCAAAACCTGAGGAAGTCGTATTAAAACCTGTTAAGAAGCTTCTTAAAGAGGAAGAAACAAAGGAATCAGTTGTTTTAAAACCAGTGAAAAAGGAGAAAATAGAGGAAGAACCTGAAGAGGTTCGATTGAAACCAGTGAAAAGGATAGAGAAACCCGAAGAACCAAAACCTGAGGAAGTCGTATTAAAACCTGTTAAGAAGCTTCTTAAAGAGGAAGAAACAAAGGAATCAGTTGTTTTAAAACCAGTGAAAAAGGAGAAAATAGAGGAAGAACCTGAAGAGGTTCGATTGAAACCAGTGAAAAGGATAGAGAAACCCGAAGAACCAAAACCTGAGGAAGTCGTATTAAAACCTGTTAAGAAGCTTCTTAAAGAGGAAGAAACAAAGGAATCAGTTGTTTTAAAACCAGTGAAAAAGGAGAAAATAGAGGAAGAACCTGAAGAGGTTCGATTGAAACCAGTGAAAAGGATAGAGAAACCCGAAGAACCAAAACCTGAGGAAGTCGTATTAAAACCTGTTAAGAAGCTTCCTAAAGAGGAAGAAACAAAGGAACAAGTTCTTCTAAAACCAGTTGAAAAAGGGGAATTCGAAGAGATAAAGTTAAAATCCGCACCTGAAATAGTATCAGAGAAGATGATTGATCAATTTCTTGAAGACAAACCAGAAGAGGTAACTGCGGCTCCTTGGCGGCGTAGTAAACGAACGAAAAAAGTCGTTGATTTCAAAGAAGAAGTTACAATAGTGCCAATCGATCAAGAAGAATCGGTTACAGAAATTTCTGAAGAAAGAGAAACAACAATAATTACAAAAGATACTAAAAAACAAATTAAAAAGAAAGTGGAATCTGTGCCATCTCGTGAAGAAGATAGAATAATTGAAGATGTAATTGCAACAAGCGAAATTTCATGGAGAAAAAAGAAACAAGAACAAAAAGTGAAAGACTCAAAACCAGAAATTAAACAATTGGAAGAACATATATTAGTTCCAGTTAAAGACGAGAAATTACCTGAGGAAATTGAAGAGAATACGATTCAATTAAAGCCGGTTCCCAAGAGGAACGTAGAAAAAGAAGCAGTAGAGGAAATTAAATTAAAACAAGTGAGTAAAGAAGAGGTGACAGAAGACAAGCCTAAGGAAGAGAAAATTATTGAATTAAAGCCTATAACATTTGAGGAACAAGTAGCAAAATTGTCAAAGGAAAAGGATGAAGCCATTATTAAAATTATTAAAACAAAATCTAAGAAAAAGGAAAAAGTGCCCGAAGAAATTGTTCCTATTATTGATGAAAAGAAAGAAAAAATTAGTACTACAACTGAAGAAATCAAAGAAATTGTTGAAGATGTCAAGTTACAAATTAAGACAGATATCACAAAAATAGAAGACCGTAAGAGAAAACGTAGACCACGTACTCAAGTCGACATATCTATTATGGATAAGGACAAAACTATTGCTCCACGATTTATTCAAAAGTTACAGCCTGTTATCGCTGAGCTAGAGAAACCTGCCAAATTTACATGTACCGTCATAGGAAACCCCTTCCCCGAAATTTCATGGTATAAAAATCAGCAAGAACTTCATGCAAGTGAAAAGTATACAATGACTATATTCGAAACAACAGCAACTTTAGAAATTATAAAAGTTAAAGAAGAAGATGCTGGAATGTACTCTTGCAGAGCATCTAATCCGGCTGGAGTTGCAACATCCACTGTCAATCTTGTGATATTTGGTAGTAATATTATCGAACATAAAGTGTGTCTTTTTTACCTTAATATATTGACATGGATTTACAAACTTGATTTATTTTCCGACATCTTTGATCTTTTCCTACTAAATTTCTATTAATAAAAACATCATGGAGTAATATTTATAATTTTTTCGTATAATCTGTGTGTGTGTGTGTGCAACTGCCACAAATAAAATGCATGTTTTTCTATAAATAATAGTACGTCTTTATCGCATTCGCAAACATATTAAATTCTTCAAGTTAATACAATGTGTCTATGTTGTCTTCTATAAATATAAATAAATTAACAGTAATTTGCAAAATGGAAACGCGTATGTGCCTAATGCATTGCTTAATGTATTGATTATATCATTTTTTTACTTTCTAGCAATTACATGATGTCATAGAAGTAATAAGAATCAACTGTGTGCTTTCTATTTTTTCCTTTTTATTGAAATATATTTCTTTTCCTTTTTAAATAACTTGCATTTGGATATTTATATTTTTTTTTTACATTTACATATAACATGATATTTGTCTTTTCAGAAAAAGAAGAGGAAGGCGTAGCGCCGCATTTCTCGACACCGATCAAACCGCTAATGATCGAAGAGCATACACCTGCTTTATTAGAATGTGTTGTCACCGGCATACCAGTACCGGAAGTGAAATGGTATCGCGGTGAGAAAGAAATAAAACCAAACGAAAAAACCGAGATTACTTTCAACCCAACAACTGGGGAAGCTAAGCTAAAAATTTTAGAACCAACACCTCAAGATGAAACAATATATCGCGTTCGTGCTGTGAATAAATACGGTCGCGCTGAATGCAGAGCTAATTTGGTGATCAGTAATATTGTTAAAGTAAGCAAACCGGTTGTTCTCAGAGCACCACGAATTACACGACCTTTACCAGCTCTTGTAGCAGAGCGTGGCAAGCCTTTGAAGCTTTTAGCTGATTTTGAGGGTACACCGAAACCGGAAGTCAAATGGTTCCGCAATGGTATTGAAATTACGCCAACTGACAGGTGCAAGATAAATATTTACGAAAGTACAGCCGAATTAATTGTATCTGACGTGACGAAAAAAGATAGCGGCAAATATGAGATTAGAGTCCAGAATGAAGCCGGCGAATCGAGAAGTTCGAGTTCTATCAATATCAAGGACCGCGAAGACACTACAAGCGAGGTGAAAGCACCGATGTTTGTAAAGCCGATCCAACCTCAACTCGTTGCAGAAGGAGAAGTTGTTATTATGGAAACACGAGTGGAATCATATCCGACAGCCTCCTTCCAATGGTTCCACGAAAGCAAACCTCTTGAGGTACTTTTTCTAAGTTGTTCTCTTATTATGTTTATTTAAAATAACTCTCTCTTATATATATATATATAT